AGAGTAAATCGAGGATTACCTATATTTTAGATTCTTTTCATTTTTTTGATTTTTCGTAAAGGTGGTAACTGGAAAGATGGTATGTTGGAAAATGCCCATTATTAAAATCACGTTTCTTTACAAGAATACCCTTGAATCCCACACATGGAGATAGACATTGAAAATAAATATGTTTAGTTGGTTGGAACAAATATTTCACTTGAAAGTTAGCTGGGAATTCAGGCAGCAACATTGCCGTTTTTTTAATCTGGTAAACGGGCTTTTGGGCACTGGCCACATCTTCATGACAGCCCATTTGTGACAAGTGTCCTCAAGAGGCTCCTTGCAATTTATGTATATTCACCAGCTTGGAAAAAAATTGCCTTCTCCTAAACAGAAATAAAGAATAGGATACAAGTGGAGTAATACATGCATTTACTATGACAATACTCATATACTATTGTTACACATTCCTGCATCTTTACAAGCAATTTTGATTTCTTCAAGCTGCCCAGTGAGGAATAGAACAAAGGGACTGATAATATGTTGAAAGGTAAAAAAGAGGACACAGGGCCAGGATAGCAGAAGGCAGTTTCATGCCTGCTATTATGTCAAGTGAGTGAGTCAACACCACAACCCATTTTGTGATGATACAGAACTCTCAAGGGAGAATGAGCATTCCAATTTACTGAGAGAGCCCTGAGCATAAGACCTATTTTTTTTTTTTCAAACTTGGCAGTTTTTAAAATATGTGAACTTCAACTTTCAGAATTCTCCAGCCAGCACGCTCACAGGGGAATTCTGGGAGTTAAGTCCCATTTATCTCAAAGTGGCCAAGGTTGAATAACACTGATATGGACTGTACACCTTTGCAAGCGGAAATTAACGCAGATAGATGTTTCGTAGAGGAGAAAAAGAGCACCAACGTAGGGCTGCCGTTGCTAGGATCAGCCACGTGTTAATGTAACATACGTTCTCATGGCAACTGTAGAAATTAAACCGTGTTGGGGTTTCCTAACCATGATTGTTTAAGTCCAAATCTCACTACATAACAGCCATAAAAAAAGTTTTCAGAAATAACCATGCCCTTCTCAGTTCTGTAGACCTTTTAAAACAAGAAATGAAAAAAAAGGATGCACGTTCACAGGCCATAATGCAATAGCTTGAGAGAAATCATGAAGTAACCTTTTCAAAACCAAGTGTCTATTTTTGTGGCATCCTTTCCCAGCATGGCTGCTGCATTCGGCTGTAAGAACGGTCAGTGCATTTCTCCAGGTCATCTTTAAGCATTCATGGTTCCCATTTTCAGTGAGGGTCAAGAACAGTGTTTCTTAACCTTGGCAACTTCAATTCCCAGAATTCCCATGCTGGGGAACAACAACAATCTAGATAGTTTAGTTTTTAACTATCTAGCTTGTCGTTGTTTCCCAGCATGAGAATTCTATCTAAATTAATCAAACCCCCGATTAGGGGTCACAAAAATAAGACCTTTATCATTCCATAAATAAACAGAAGTTTCCAACAATCTGATTCAGTTTTTAAGTATTTGGGGACAAACACATAAATAATTATCATCTGCTGCAGAGAAAGAGATGGAAGTAGATCCTCCTCTCTGCTCTCCAAAGAGATCAGATGCTTCCAATTGTGCCTGCCTCTAAATCATCCCCACCCCACTGGATCATTGTAAGATACTGACAATTGAATAGGTACAAGAATTTGGAGTAGAAACTCCATCACTCCCACCTAATCAGATCGCTGGGAGCTTGTAACTACCTAAATCAAATAGAGGAGTGATTCTGTGAAAATGTTGATGGGATATTTCAGTATAATCCAAAGCAGAGAGTTGAATTTTCGAATGAGATCTATAAAAATAAATGAACATGAACTCACAGAGAAAGAACTACACTAAACTTCTCTTGATCCATTTAAACGAATGAATAGAGAATCAAATGAGAATTACTAGTAAGGGACAATTTCAGCTCTGTATAGCGTGCATAACTTTAACTTGGCCTTTTAATTCAGGGGTCTCCAACCTTGGCAACTTTAAGCCTGGAGGACTTCAACTCCCAGAATTCCCCAGCCAACTGGCTGGGGAATTCTGGGAGTTGAAATCTACTAGGCTTAAAGTTGCCAAGGAAGGAGACCCACCCCCCTATTTTAATCTACAAGTGGTACATGTATGAAGGAATTAACACGTGGTTTTAAAACTTTTGCTAGTTCAAAGCTATCAACTCCTTGACCTCAACTCTATAATACCAAAGTGCTTTTTAAATGTTATTTTGCACAAATCATGACAGAAAGTCACGAGATTAAAATCTGTTCACCCCATCTCGTTTGAAAGGACTGTAATCGTCAGCCATAAAGGTATATACTGCAACATGCTTTTCAGTATATAAGACACTTTTTCGTTTCTGTGTACAGGTAGTCTTCGAACGTACGACCATACCTGAGCCCAGATTTACGCTTGTATGTCAAGGCAGTCGTTAAACGGGTCAGCATGTCATCACATGTTGATTTTTACAGTCATTTTTGCAGCAATTGTTAAACAAATTCATGTTTTCCAATAGGCTGGAAACAAATGCTCCAAAGCAGCAGAAAATGCCAAGCAGGGAGTGTATGACTGTTGGAACGGTGGAATTAGGTCATAAATCCATTTTGAAGGGTCCATCACAACTTCAAATGGTTGGTAAATGACCTGTCATTAAGTGAGGACTAGCTGTAATAGCGGCCACTTTCAAGTACTCATGAAGCACAAGGCATGCCTTTTTTCCCCCCTACAAGCTCCTGTGCAACTGACTTCAAACTGGCTTCCCCCAATCATGCTGGCAAAACTGTTAAAATTGGAACTCCAAATGTCATTTGCTTAGACATCTGCTGCTCTCCAACAAGGCAGAATTACATCATAGGCTTCAGTGCACCCTCTGTAAGCCCTTTTTTTTTTTTTTTAAGGCAAAGGTGTTTCCTGTTTTTCATCACTGAAGTATGAGCCTCTGCATCAAGATCAGTCTTTAATACAGGCGCATATAAGCATGAGCTCTTGTTTTGGGAAGTGCAAAAAAAAAAAAGATGGGAGGGAGGAACGCAAGGTTCTCCAAGTTTTGTTGGGCTCCAGCTCTCTTAACCCCCAGCTAAAAGGATCAAAGGTCTGAAATGATGGGATTTAAATTTACATGCTGCAAAATAAGGTTAAGGAGAGCCAGTTGGATCTAGTAGTTAAGGCACCAGGCTAGAAAGCGGGAGATCATGACTAAGTCATTGGGGGGGAGCCAGATTCACGCCACTGTGTTGCATGCTTAACGGCAACAATTAGCTTAATAACTGGGTCAAAAGGTCATAAAACCACGCACAAGTCCCTTAAACGCCCTTGCTTAGCAACAGAAATTCTAATCCCAGTTGTCACCATAAATCAAGGACTACCTGATATCTTCCCCTTACCAGAGGTATCCATTTATAATTCTGATAAGTCTGTTTAGTCCAGGGGAGAAGGAAGTCTTAGTAGCAATGTCATTGAAAAGTGGTACATAAAATAGAAATAAAACAAGAGGAAAAATACACGGATCCAAAATTAGGATTATGCCTTTTAGATTAAGGGTTTTATCCTCAAGGTCTATGGGAAAAGTACCATCCATGCTTATCTTTTCCATTAGGGGGTAAAAAGGAAGACTTTACTGTTTAGAAGTTCAGTTATACAGCTGGTCCTCAACTTACAACTGTAATGGAGGTTGAAATTTCTGTCATAAATTATGATGATTGTTAAGTCAAAGAACCCACATGACCAGAGCTGATTTTATAACTTCTTTTGGTGGTGGTTGTTAAGTGAATGTTGTGGTTAGGAAATGAATGCCATAGTTATTAAACAAATAATGTATTCCTATGGGCGTTTTTTTTGTCAGAAACCAGCTGAAAAGGCCAGAAACTGAAAAAAAAAATGTCAAAAATTATGGTCATGTGACCTTAGAACACTCAACCAACTGTAAAGCTGAACAAGCTGCCAAGTGGCCAAAATGTGGCCGTGTTAATCTATGGGAATGGATGGATGGGTTATACATCAAAAGTCTAGAACCAGGTCTTAAGTAGCTTTTGGGAGGTCTGTCATCACTTTAAATAAGGGGTCGCCAACCTTTTGGACCTCAGGGACCACCAAACTCATAATTTTAAATCCCAGGGACCACTAACCGGTTCTGTGGGCATGGCCTAATTTGTGGGTGTGGCTTGGTGGTCATGTGATTGGCTGGGCATGGCTTGTATGTAAATATTATAAATATTTATATAAATATTGAATTTTTTTATAAAAAAGAGCAACTTTTACCCAAAATCAGGCAAAGCAGGCAGGCAGATTGAGTTGCTCACAGAATCATTCAGTGATCTATCTGCCATCGGCTAGCTCAGTCTGTCACATAAAATTTGCTTGCCATGAGTCTGCACTGAATAATAGAACCTTCAGTCCTAAGAGAGGTTCGTCTGTGCTTAAAAGCAGAGCCAAATATCTAAAGACTAGCCAGAAAGCAAGAAATCCAACCATTTTCTGCTTCCTAACTAATCTAAATCTCCCGGCACAGCAGAACAGCTGATGGTCAGAAAAATAGCAATTTAACAGGCAAGTTTGCTGGGTAAGGAGTGAGTGGGTGGGGAGGGTTCCCACGGGCCATGTGGGCGGTGCAGCCTTGTGCTTCTGCATAGCCTGGATTAATTGCTTGGGGGGGGGTGCTCTGGGGGTGAGATTTCTCTATGGCCCACCACAATTTTCTAGCAGCTCACCACAGACCGGCCCACCGGTTGGCGACTGCTGCTTTAAACAGTTGCCAAGTAACCAGTTGTAAGGTGAGGACTACCCAGAGTATGTTATTTTACAGTACTTTGAGAAAAAGGGGGGAAAAAAGGAAGAGAAGGGAAGGAGAAAGGATCACAACTGATTCTGAAACACAAGCCTGTTACCATCTGCCCTCTGCAACCTCCCTTATGAAGAAAAGACAAAGCTATGGTTTTTTTAAGAACAGAATGCCTGAACTCAAGAAATATACCTGTAGACCACAACAGCCAACAGCATTCAATATGGAAGCATTGTGGACCACTCTGTAGGGAATTCCCAACTTCACAGCCCGGAGAACAAGGTCACTATGTGTAGTTGCCCTGCAATTTTAAAAAAAAAAGTGAGTTATGAAACGTGGCTGCCTACTGGATAATTTTCTGTAGCACTGCAATTATGTAATAACAGCAATAACCAAAATGTTGTCTTCCCTAATAACTCTTTCCAAAACATAAAGCTATCTTGTTTCCCAATTCAAATGCAGAATTTTGTATATCTATTGTTTACGCCCATTTCCAAACACCCTCGTTCTGTTCCTATTCTTCAAGCACCATTGTGTATTTGATTGCAATCCGTGGCCTGCTTCAAATCTACACACCTTCAGACCTCATGGCACCTTGTACAATATGGAGATGGGATGATAATTATCCCAAAAGGAAAGTTAACATATGCAGTCAATATAATTGTTCTCCTGAACTGCATCAGAATACAAAATAACAGAGTTGGAAGGGACCTTATAGGTCATCTAGTCCAACCCCCTCCTTCTCAAGCAGGAGACCCTATAGCATTTCTGACAAGGGGCTACTCAGTCTCTTCTTGAAAGCTTCCAGTGATGAAGCACTCACAACTTCTGAAGGCAAGCTGTTCCATTGGTTGATGGTTCTCACTGTCAGGAAATTCAGGGATCATTCAATATCATTAAGGAAATTCATTCAATCTATGTATTTGATGTAATGCAGTTGAAGAAGAAACAAAATCAAGAAGTTTTTTTCCTGCCACATTTTAACTCCCTCCCCCCAGCCCCAGTTGTACTCAAAGAAAGTTGCAAAACCTGTAAAGCCTTTGATTCAGTGGTACACGACAAACTACTCCTAAAACTAAAATCTTATGGTATCTCTGGACACCTTCATAACTGGATAGAAGCATTCTTGTCAAACAGACAACAAATGGTCAAAATTGGGAGCGTCCTATCAAATTCTGTACCTGTCAACAGTGATGTCCCCCAAGGCAGTGTTCTAGGACCAACTCTTTTCATACTCTACATAAATGACCTCTGTGATCATATTAAGAGCAAATGTGTTCTCTTCGCTGATGCAAAGCTGTTCAATACCACAGACAATACTGCTACCCTTCAAAAAGATCTTGACTATGTATCAGAATGGTCAAGCAAATGGCAACTTCAAGTCTCAACAAATAAATGCTCTGTCCTACATATTGGCAAAAAAAAATCAGAAAATAAAATACAGGCTGAATAGTCAAGACCTTGTTGATGATCCAAACTCTGTCATGGACCTTGGAGTACTCATCTCTAATGATCTAAGTGCTAGAGCCCACTGTAACTACATAGCCAAAAAGGCGTTAAGAGTTGTTAACCTAATCTTACGTAGCTTTTTTTCTGGTAATATTACACTACTAACTAGAACATACAAAACATTTGCTAGACCAATACTCGAATACAGCTCATCAGTCTGGAACCCACATTACGTATCTGATATTAAAACAGTTGAGAAAGTCCAGAAATATTTCACAAGAAGAGTTCTACACTCCTCTACTCGTTGCAGAATACCTTATGCCACCAGACTTGAAATTCTAGACCTAGAAAACCTAGAACTACGCCGCCTTCAGTCCAATCTAAGTATAGTATATAAAATTATATATTGCAATGTCCTACCTGTCAATGAATACTTCAGCTTCAACCATAACAATACAAGAGTAAACAATAGATACAAACTCAAGGTTAATTGCACCAAACTTGATTGCAGGAAATACAACTTCAGCAACAGAGTGATCAATGTCTGGAATAATCTACCTGACTCTGTGGTTTCTTCCCCAAACCTCAAAAACTTTAACCTTAGACTGTCTACTATTGACCTCACCCCTTTCCTAAGAGGTCTGTAGGGGCATGCATAAATGCACCAATGTGCCTACTGTCCCTGTCCTATTGTTTCTTTTATTTTTTATTATTATTATTATCCATGTATTCATAACTATGTTTTTACTTATACCTATTATCTTGTAAGCAATTGACAAACCAAATAAATAAATAAAACAAAACTTTGTGGTTCACATATGTACACTTGAGAAGTATAAGCTTTCAGATGGCCCTCAGTGAAGCAGCAGGAGAGATGAAAACGCACATCAAACTCAACCATCTAAATCTGAAAAAATAAAATAAAAATCCAAGCAACTCTGTACCAAAGCTAGTTGACACACTAGAAAGCTAAAAATTACAGCCGTTTGCATTTAACTTCAATAAATAATTGCATCTGAAAATTAGGTGTTCCACTTCTTTGTCTCTTTCAGAAAACTGCAAGACATCTGTTAGCTGGCAAACAGCAACTTGGCACAAAGAGCAACTCTGGCATAACTCCAATGCTCCCTTTTAATTACTGGGCAAATGGAGCTTCATTTAATTGCAGATGAGAAACTTGGTATGCATGTTCTGTAACTTGCAATAGTATGCAAAACGCTTGTTTTCTGATACATTCACATTTGTTATTCAAGAAGATTTCAGGGAAAGTGAATGGTAGCCCCTCACAAGTGCTGGATTTCCACTGCATGTGCCAGGCAAACATCTAGCTTAAAGAAAGATCTCTTCTGAGGGATTTAGAAAACAAAAGATTGCAAGAAATTAAGAGAAGTGCAGTAAGGCGTACAGAAAACATGCAAATTAAGGCTGTCAGGGGCTTTAGTTAAAAGAGCAGCAGCTCCCCATAAACACTGATAAATGTACTGCTGAAAAAAAAGTTATTCATTAGAATTAATATGGCCTACCACTCGGATACTAAGATGAGTAGGGTACAAGTACTTGGCCAACAAGAATTAAGGTGTTTGAATGCAAAACTGGGCATTGATAGAGAGATGTTCCTGGAGCTGTTGACTGCTCAGAGCTCTAACTCTGCAGAAGCTCCTAATCAAACATGCATCAATCACATTTAGTGTATTACCCAACCAAATGTAGAAATGAATTTAATAAGATGGCCAAACTACAACAATGGCTTCAGCTGCTCCCATATCCCCAAGGAATCTTAGTTTAATGCTGCTTATTGGATGTAAGAGAAAGAGGGAAAAGAAAGAGCATCTGGCTGAAAAGAGTGATTAAGCAATTCACTTTCTGGCACTGATACTTAATTCCCATTGAAGTGCGTCCAAGATTTGTCCGGACTAAACCTTCTATCATTTTTGTGGGGAGGTTCTGTTTGATTGCTGCGACCACACATTGCATAACATAGCATCGTTTGCACTCAGAATAATATATGTGTTACCCAGTTGTTTAGATTTCGGGTTGGTGTACATGTTCTCATCTACATAAAAATTAATCATTTTTTGTAACCAGATTTTAGTAATATGACAAATACAATAGTTACAGAACAGCAAAGGATAGTTGTAATTATAAAATTAACTAGGCAGAAAGCAGAAAGACTTTAAGTAGCTTATAGAAATGGAATTTTACCCTTAGCATTCATTCTAAAGAATCAAAAAGGTCACAGTTTTCACGCTAGGAAAACCAAGTTTAATTAAACAATTGATTGGGAACTGGGACAAATAGTAACCACAATAGAGCAGAGCTAAGCTTTCGTGCTCTACTCAACTTCATTCCAAACAGAATAAATTTTAAAATCATTAAAATATTTTAATATCAGCATCCGAGCCAGGCTTAAAAATGCAACTGATAGCCAATGCAATTGTAACAAGACTGCCAGTTGCATTTTTCAGACTTTTAGATCTATTAGAATCCAAACATTATACTTGTTTGTTTTCTAACATAATATTCAGAGGCAACCCCAAGTAAAGGGAATTGCAGCACTCTATTATGGAGATAAACATATGATTAATCAGAAAATCCATCATTGATAGATAAGATTAACCGAGACTGCATTGTCATTGCCTACTTTATAGGACCACAAGTCCAAGAACATCTTAAGATTCACAATGAATAGAGCAGAGCAGATTCTTTCAGGACTAAATTAACATTTGTGTGCAGATAGGAAGACTCCCCAGATCTTTAAGTCCTATACTGATTCTTTTTATTGGATTAATAAGTTTTATCTAGATTAATCTTTAATTGTCAAGAGTGCCAGACCACCAAAGGCTTATAAACATTTAAAAATCCGAGATTTACCCACGAAGTTTGAAAATAATCTTGGTGCGAAGTGTTTGCATGATTTATATGGAAACATTTGGATGATCAAACAGGGCTCTTTTCATTGTGTTCCAGCACAAAGATTCAAATAAGTCACCTTTAATAATGTCACTGCTTCGAGTAGAGTAATTATATTAATTCTCCATGGTTGGTATCATCTGTAAGTGCCATTTGTTTAAAAAGGAAGAAAGCAAGAAAATATCCCTTTCATGTTGCTAAGGATGTACATCAATCCCTGTTTATGTATATGCATATATTTCTTTCCCAGCAGGGATCTCTCAGATGATATCCGTGGCAATTACATTTTCCCAACATTCTCATCAAAAGGGCAATATTAATTTTAAAGCCCCAGCTGGAAACAAAAGCTGTTTTCCTTTCTACACTGTAGATTGATGAGGCTCAACTTGCTCGGGCAGAATGAAGTGTTCTGGGGAAAGGAAGGAGTGCAACTAGAAATGGAGCTAGAACACTTAATAAGTTAAACTGATTTGTAATGACCCAGATGTCCACAGTATGGATAGATTGTGCAACGTGTACTGCAGCATTAAGTTTAAAAACCACCATCTGGGTTGTAGATGTAACATGAAAATTAACCAAATACTCTGAACAAGCCTTGCTGAATGTCTTGAGAAACCAGTAAGGAATAGCCTGTGCAAAAAGCACTGTTTTTTAAAAAGGAGACAAGACATCGACCATCAATTTACCTCACACTGATGAGCAAGGTATTAAAATACATCATGCAAATTAATCTGTATTCCTATTTAAAGATGCAACACAGGTGGTCATCTTGGAAGGCCAGATTGCATCAGGGCTAAGAAATTGGGAGTGTGCTTTTCCTATAATTTCTCTTCACTTCTTCATGAATTCCTTTTAGAATAGAATGACAGCATTGGAAGGGAATCTTGGAGGTCTTCTAGTCCAACCCCCCTGCTTAGGAAGGAAACCCTACACCACTTCAGACAAATGGTTATCCAATTTCTTTAAAAACTCCAGTGTTGGAGCATTTACAACTTCTAGAAGCAAGTTGTTCCACTGGTTAATTGTTCTAACTGTCAAGGAAATTTCTCCTTAGTTCTAAGTTGCTTCTCTCCTTGATTAATTTCCACCCATTGCTTCTTGTCCTTCCCTCTGGTGCTTTGGAGAATAGTTTGACCCAATCTTCTTTGTAGCAACCCCACAGATATTGAAACACTGCTATCATGTCAGCCCTAGTCCTTCTTTTCATCAAACTAGACATACCCAATTCCAGCATTGGTTCTTTATATGTTTTAGCCACCGGTCCCCTAGTCATCTTTGTTCCTCTTCTCTGTACTCTTTCTAGAGTCTTAACATCTTTTTTTACATTGTGCTATGAAAATTAGGCAGGAACTTGCAGAACAGATTCTAAAACAAACATGATAGACTGGAATTTACTCTTTTCAGTGTAATCAAATTATAGATTAGATATATTTAAAACCATAGGTTATGGGATTTTTTTTCTGGAGTTTTCTCATCTTACCCAAAAGGATCGCCAACTACAAGAAAAGCCACATCAATTAGATGTGCATCTTTCAGGATACTATCAGCATCTTGCTCTACGATATCTCTGTCAGCAAGGATCAGCTCTTTACCATAGAAATCTTCCTAGAAAAAGAAAAAGGTTATATATGTAGTTTATTTGTTCTAAACCCGAAGGTGACATACAAAAAAAATTGGCACTATTGATACTGTCACAGCTATCTACAAAACAGGTTAGGATGAGATAATGTGGATGCTTAAGAAACTGTCCCAAGTATTGGGGCACACAATTTTTGGGTGGTTGAGTATGGGGGGATGGGCACACATTCTTTTTAAATATTATTTTCAACCAATGTGGATAGCAAATGGGCGTGACTTTTTCATGTCTTTCTGGACTGGGGATATTGAAATGTTCAATTTTCAAATCCATTTTCAAATTACTTTCACAGTTTAAGAGGCACTAAGTCCACTCGAAAACTTAAGCTATGTTATCTTAATTCCGGAAGAAATCACACTGCCAAGCATTCAGTGACCTACTGACCAATTGTAGTAGCAAAATTGCAGGGAGTTTTGGGTATTACAAGCACAGAGCTATATGGCTTATTTAAAAGAATGGTGGATTGCAAAAATTACAGATGGGTGGCTTGCCTCTTATATTAAGTCATGAACTATTGTTAACAAACCATATAATTCAGGGGTCCCCAACCGCCGGTCCGCGGACCGGTACCGGGCCGCGGAACAAGCCTTACCGGGCCGCTGGTTGCTGGGCGCCGCCATCTTTTTTTTTGGAAAGCTCACCGGAAGCGCTGTTTCGTCATAAAAAGATGGCGGCGCCCAGTTGACGCCGGTACCGGGCCGCGGCGCCCAGCTGATGTCGGAACCGGGCCGCGGCGTCGAAAAGGTTGGGGATCCCTGATATAATTGGCCCTATTATGTTTCCAAGGGTTGGAGACGGGGCGGGTTTGGAAACTGGACACTCAACTTCAATGCCAAGTTTCTCTCTTACTAGTCAGAATTTATACTTTCATCATTAAAGGGCCATAATAATCAGATGCCAAACTTTTAAAACATTCAAACTCTTTGACTCATAATTATTTAAGTCCATATACGATCACCAAATCAAACTGTAATTTATAAAGCTTTTGTATTCATTGACTGTTTGTGCCTGTATTCTAACTTTCTTCCACAGGGATAGTCCCATTATGTGTGGACTAAATCAAGATATAGTAACTAGATACAATATTATGTAGAACATTTCACACCAGATTAGGGATCAGAATACTGTTTTCATTGCTCTGATATTATTTTACACTTCTCCCTGCCTACCAGTGTATTCACATACCAGTGCTTCTTTTCCAACAGTTAGGATAGAAGTGTAGGCTTCCAAATATACTCTGCTACACTGCTTTATTACTTCCAGTCCTTTTACTGTAATATCTTTGGCATCTCCAAGTCCAAGACCAATCAAGTAAAGCATTTTTTTAAAAACGAGCAAACCAAGAAAAGCTTTGGTACTGAGGATTTTTACACCTGTCAATTAAACAGACAAAAATACCATGAAAATCAAATATTAAAGCTTAAATGGTAGGTAATAGAAGTTTGAGAAGTAGGTAGACCTCAAGTTACAACAGTTCATTTAGTGACATTCAAAGTTACAACAGCACTGAAAAAAAGTGACATGATTATTTTTCATATAACCATTGCAATCCCCATGGTCCCATGATTAAAAACCAAGATGCTTGGCAATTGTTTCATATTTATGACTGTTGCAGTGTTTCAGGGTCATATGCAGAGGTGGTATTCAGCAGGTTCTGACCAGTTCTGGAGAACCAGTAACGGAAATTTTGAGTAGTTTGGAGAACTGGCAAATACCACCTCTGACTAGCCCTGTCCCCATTTATTCTCTGCCTCCCGAATCCCAGCTAATCGGCTGGGTCTTCTTTTGTTGCCCTGCACAGGAGAACGGAGCTGGAAAGCAGGTTAGTGGGGTAGGGTGGGAATGGAGATTTTACAGTATCTTTCCCCTGCCACACCCACCTAGCCATGCCCACCAAGCCACACCACACCCACCAAGCCACGCCCACAGAACCGGTAGTAAATTTTTTTTGAATCCCATCACTGGTCCTATGATCATCTTTTGCAATCTTCTGACAAGCGAAGTCAACAGATTCAATAACAACCATGCTAATAACTGCAGTGATTCACTTAATGGTGGAAAGGGAGGTTGTAAAATGGGGCAAAATTCACTTAACAACTGTCTTAATTAGCAACACAAATTTTGCACTCAATTCTGGTTGTAAGTCAGGGACTACCTGTAGTTCAAATATAGTGGGGAAAAATTACTGGAAAAGTTCTTGGAATATATTGACAATACAATGCATCACTTTTCAGCTCTGTAGTTATAAAAACAAAACCAATAGACTTAGATATAAAGTACAATTGCATGTGTATAGTTATTAAATTTCAATATTCCAAAATAGTATGAATCATAATGAGATATTGCTCAACGATTTCATCAATACTATTCACATGTCTGATTATCTACACATCTATCAATGTGCTGATTACTTTATGCCATTAATAAGTGTAAAGCTAATGTGGAGAAATTGAAAACGTTTTTCTAATGATTATTCACCACTGGTTAAAAAAAGAATGGAACAATAATAATTGGTTAATTGTTGCTGCTGTTATGTTGCTGCTGTTATTTTATTTTGTATTGTATTGTTCAAGAATTGGGTTAATTTTGCCATAAATGTTATATTGTATGGTTGTAACAGTTGTAAGCAGCCATTAGTTTGGAAGAAGTAGCAGTATATAAATCTAAATAATAACTAAAAAATGACAGCTCCTTGTAAAATTTTTGAATTATGTTGTACCATATTTTCACTTTTCTTCTGTTCCTTTAGCCATTACCAAAGGCAAAATGTTAATTCTACACATGCATTTATTTAACTGACTTAAAAGTTTTATAGTCTAATCCTAATCCTATGCATTCCCCCTTTTAATACATCATCAACTTTTCTTAGGTTTATCTTTTTTTTCAGTAAGCCCTTGGGCTTTCATATAAAATGAATGTACTTTTTGTTCCAAAGCCAGGTGTCTTAACCAATCAGCAGTCCCTCAGCTGTCAGTTTCATCTAATGCTGAAATCTCTTATTAGAACATTGTTTTCTTTTAACTTGTAAATTCTATCCATAAGAAACTGTTATAAAACAAAAAATGATTTATCAATAATTCATCATACTGGTAATATTTATGAACTTCTAGGAGTTTACAAGTTTCTAAAAATGAGGAATGCTCCAGTTGAATAATATTTGTTTCCAACTTTGGATTTTGTCCTCCAGACACTTGCATCATTTTATTTTTAAAGAATTAAACGACTGGAGCATAACTACATCACCCTTCATATAAAACACTGACCTAGTCCGATTCATTTCCAAAGACATCCTTGTTTGCAAAGGTCCCCTGCTCTCTATTAAGCACAGGCTGTATTTGCATATTACCCTCATTCCTGATGAAGTGAATTAATTAACAACCCAAACTATAAGTTTTACACATTGCCCGAGTTCACACAATATTTTGCATACCAAGATCCCAAATGCAGAAATTCAGTCAAGGTACCTTTCTCCACCCAATGAAATGAGCTGGAGAATTAAAGGGTTCCTGTAATTTTTGTAAAAAATAAAATGGGTTTCAATAATAAATCATATTTGTAACTGCATAATAAGCAAAATATGTTAAAATCAAGTATTAAAATAGCGATTGTGATTGTATAGTGTTTGAATGTACAAATGATGTATCTGATTAACCTTATACATTAAAAAACAGTTACCAAGTTCATTCAAATTTCCAATGGAGCTAAATCCAGTAATACAATGACTGCTTGATAGTCATTGGGTTTCCTGAGAAAAAGGAAACCAAAGGCTTTGTCAGGACAATCGAATTCAAGAGACCTTGTTTCTAACTGGAATCTCCATCCAGGTCTAAGGTAGTACATTCCACCAAGGTTACTCATTGAATGTTATCTCCTGGCCACTCATTCTCTTTATCTACTTCACAGAGGAGTTGGCAGAACAATGCCAATCTCTTCAAGAAGAGATTGGACTGCCATTTGTCAAAAATGGTGTAGGGTCTCCCGCTTCGGGGGTGGGGTTGGACTAGATGACCTACAAGCTCCCTTCCAACTCTGATTATCTATATCTGTATCTGCCTGTAAACAAGCCAGGACTCCTCACAGAAACAAAAGACACAGGAAACCGTGGGGCCTCTAGATGAGAAATTCCACAAGTCCCCCTCCTGCGCCCTAATACAGGTGTGCTCAATTTTGCAGAAGTTAACCTCTTCATTCATAAATATCGATGGAGATTCTCAGTCATCCAGGTCGTAGTTGTCCCAAAGGTGCTTTTTTTTTCTTTTTTCTTCAAGAGGCAATTGGCCTCTTTGGTTTTTCTTTGAAGACGTTTCGCTTCTCATCCAAGAAGCTACCGATTCTCGGATGAGGAAGCGAAACGTCTTCAGAGAGAAAACAGAAAGTCCCGTTGCCTCTTGAAAAAAAAAAGCACCTTTGGGGGCTCCTCATTCATAGGTAAAGAACACTCAGCTTCTTAACCTATGCAAATGAGGGCCTGCTTAGCATGTCATCGGAAGCCCCCCCCCCCCCCTCCCATTGGCCCAGACCCCGTAGAACCCCCGTCCCGCGCAGCGCTGCCCTTTCCCTCCCCCGCCTTGCACCTGCCTTCGAGCTTAGCGGTCGCCTCTTTCCCCATCCATGCTTACGCCTTCGTTTCCGGGATCTTTCGGTGCCGTAAAAAAGATTGCTCTCCGCTTGCGACGATTTTACGGCAGTAAGGAGGCTGGCTCTTTGCTCTGTCGGTGGGCTTCTTGCTGGAGCCTTTCCGCCTGGAGAGGTGATGACGGGAGCGACTGGATGGTCTCTTTGCTTCTGAGGGACAGGATGAGCACCTGGGAGTCGGGCAAAGTATTGGGGGTGCCGACGGTTCCCCTTTCTAATGGCTTAAACATCCCCATATTGGGGCTGGGTAAGTGCACGGATTCCCACCCCTCCACCCCCGCTCGTCTGACTGCGAAAACGAGAAGAGCAGTTCTAAATGTGATGAAACGTGATGGTTGCCCAAGTGCATGCGCCTATTCCTTGCCTTTGAGCTTCATGTCTCCGCAGTGTTCATCCTGTCACCTGCCCGCTGTAAAGCAACGTTGCGCATTCCTCCAGGTGCTCTGCACTACAATTTCCATCCTCCTTGCTACACGAAGGGGTAAAAAGTCCACTGTAATGTGTGACATCGAGCTCCCACCCAGCCAAATTAAGCAGGATGTTTGTTTATTTTTATTTATTTAGTTTAGTTTGTCAAGTGTGTATGAGAAAACAAGTATAAGTATGAACATAACATATACACATATAAGTATAAACTGGTATATACATAATAAATGAGTACGAATAAATGGGAACAGTAGGACTGGGTTGGCTTATGCATGCCCCCTATGTTGTACTGAACATGGGGAAATCAGGTTTACAATATACAATTGCTGTTATGCCACTGTGTACATTAATATATTTATCCTAGGGGGGGGCGTGATTCTGTACTCTGTACCTTGGAATAAACCTCTTTCATTGAAAGATTTTGGAGTAATATGTAAGACTGCGCTGTCAAAACAATTGTCTTCTTTTTGGTCAGCACTTTTCTGCCAAGAGTCATTAAATCAGGTAGCTTCCTCTCTGGAAGCTCAGAGATGTGATTCATTTAGAAATCTACTAGCAGTTTCCTATAAGACCATTTAAGCTTATGCTTGCACTGGATGTTTTTGAACAAGCTGGCAAGACTATACTTAGGTAAGGAGCACCATAATTCTGTTTTAGGGCAGGCTGATTAGAAGAGCCTATTTGTAGAACAGCGCTATAGAAATATGCTATACATGTTCCATCTTTAGGTAAATATTTTTGGCTTTTTGGAGTGCTTAATTTTTCTTTTTAATTGCATTCTTCTAGATTGCAGTGCCTTAAACTTTCCCCCCCCCTCAAGACCTCTTCCCAGTTTTAAAAATTATAGAGCAATCCCAAGGAACTTTTGTTTGAATGAGTTCTATTTATTGATATTTACCATGTTTGAGTTTAAAATCGATACATTTCTTGCCACTACCGTGTCTCATGATTGTTTGATGTGATTTTAACATAGCCTCTGTTTTCAATATGAGCCGGCAAATTTTGGTTTTGCAGACCCCAAGTGGGAAACTTTGACCACATTTTTGAGAGATACTGCACTGGATATCTGTTAGGAATTGAGCATTGGTGACAAGTAAGGCCAAAGCTGGTAATAGGTAGATGCATTCTTTTTTAGGTAATCTCAAATTGCTTTTTTCCCCCTCTCAGTCCAGGTATTGCCAGAAGAACAGATAGTTCCCAATGCATCTGAATTAATAGTTTGAAGAAGATTTCCTGTCTTATACTAAAGTCCTCAGCTTGTCCACCTTTAGTTTAATTTATTTCTGGTAGCATGCATTTTGGAAAGTATTGCTTAAAAGACAGTAACCCTAGCTTGTCCTTTCTGCTGAAAGCAGAGTAGAGTAGAGTAGAGTAGAGTAGAGTAGAGTAGAGTAGAGTAG